GGACGTTCTCACCAGGGACCTTCCCATACATGTTGTCGGGGGCGTGGTGTGTAAATAAAAAACCATCTCTCGGGCGATGATGATTAAGAGAGAACGGTTGCAGATAGATGGACTTACCTATCGTGATATGTTAAGGAGGCTGTCAGAGTAGCTTAGCAGTTCAACTTTGCGCGAGACTGAGGATGATGGTGTTTTCTCACGTATTAACAATAACTACGTTAGTAGAAGATGAGCCGGCTTTGGACGGGGATGTACTATTCGAGCGTACGCTGGCCACAGTACGACGCTGGTGTACAAGCAATCTGAAGTTGACGTTGGTTAAACTCACCAAAGAATCAATTTACGTTCCTGTGGACCGCCCAACACGAACCTCACATACCTCTAACACCCCGAGTGCAAAGCTCGAACACATTGTCGAAAAGAGGAGCCGATACTTGACAACGACGGATACAGGAATGCCACGGTCTCGGCCACTGTCGAGTTCACGCTGTGACTCACCCGATAGTACGACCGGACGAGGATTATCCAAAGCGAGACTCACGCACCTGTAATGTCATCCTCGACATTCTCAAAGCTTTGGAACGTTCGTAGAGAAATAGATGCTCACGCACTGGAACGTGCGGTCGGACTTCCGATGCAACTGAGCTACAAACACTTTGTTGCTTCCATTCGATGACTGATGACCAGACTGCTTAATCTAGCGAGAAACAAGTTAAGTCAATAATCACAGTAACGTTCAGATTCGACCGAAATTAGGACAGAACGAGGACGCACCTACAACACCGTCCGACCGACCCACAACGCCCATAGTTATTATACAAAACCACTTTGAAGTTTCAAACCTCCAACCTCCGACAAGACGTGACCCAAACCACAAATCACAATCACATAAGAAACACACTGACCATACGCGCGCACGAAAACGAAGACCAAGACGAAGAAGTCATCGCGTCGTGGCGCGTCGTTATAGTGTCACCGCGTATAATCAACCTTATTCTCAATCTCCAACATAGCGCAGAACGCAGCAGTCTGCGGGTTCGGATAGTACGGAGCTAAGAGAAAAAAAATGGGTAAGAGCAAACGCAACGTCAACGAATCACTGGCAAAGAAAAAGAGAGAAAGAAGAACTCACGTTGTTGCCTACTCAACGGATCCCTCCTCTTCTTATTCCCGTCTTGAAGGTCCGGCGTAGGTCCAGGAGCGGTCATGACGAACGTCTGACAATCTTCGACGTATTTGATTCCTTTCCCTTTTACCTTCTCTCTTCCCTTTCCCTCCTCTCCATCACCCTTCCCCTCACTCTCTCCTCTTTCCTTCCCCTTTTCCTCACCCTCCTCACCATTTACATTGTCCTTGCTCTCCTCACCCTCCCCCTCTCCAAAAACAACCCTCCCAACCCAAACCCTCTCCCTCCTAACCATCTCCCTCGCCATCGCCTCATCCGGGTACGTCACAGGCTGGTCGCGGGAGAGAGGCATGTAAGGGTTGAAGGCGCGTGTGATGGCGAGCCATTCGGGGTCGTAGGTTAGTTTGATTTGCGGTTGGGTGGGGGAGGGGGAGGGGGTCGGTGCGGATTGGGGTGCTTGGGAGGGGGATGTGGGCGAAGGTTGGGATGTGGGCGAAGGTTGAGATGGGTGGGATGGTGCAGATTGGGAGGGTTGGGATGGTGCAGATTGGGATGTGGAATCAGACGTCGGTTGAGGCTGCGTCGATTCCCCCAGCCGCGACTCCTCTAAACCCCCCTCCCCAGGAGGATAAACATCCACAACCTCCAAGAAATTCCTCCTCGGGAGACACTTATCCAACGCCAAGAACCGAGTCACGTTTTGTCCCTGATGAGAGTCAAATATCGAGAGTCGCCCAGTCGGCCCTGAAGTATATCGTGGCGCCGGTGCCGAAGAAGAAGCGACAGGAGGAGGAGGGGGAATGACGACGTCCTCTTCTTCATCTTCTAGAAGAATCTCGTCTGGATTTCTTTCTCTTTGTACCACAACTGGAGGAGCGGGAGCGGGCGCGGGCGTAGGAACAACCGGAGAGGGAGCAGGCGTAGGGACAGAGGGAACAGGAACGGGTTGGGGTTGGGAAGGGACCTCGGTTTGAGGTTGCGTATCACTCAAGGGTTTCGGGGGTACGTCAAACTCGTTGTCGTCAATGACGATTTCGTCCGGGTTCGTCCCTTCCACCTTCACTCCCTCTCCTACACCATCCACATCCATACCCTCCCCTCGCCCGCCCACCCCTCGCCCATCAACCCCTTCCCCAACCCGCCCGCCCGCCCCCTCCCCATGCAAAACAACCGCCTCAAACCTACAATGCAAATGAGCCGCAAACCACCAGCGCGGCCTCAACACCCTCAACAACCCCATCATCGGTGGACTTCCCAAAACCCCTCTCTCTACGTCTTGTCGGAAGAAAGGTTTACGACGGAGGAGAGAGGAGAGGTCGCCGTGGTGTTCGATGCCTTGCGGCCAGTCGTGGGAGAGGAAGATTTGGGGTTGGGTTAGCTGGTGGGATGGGTGGGTTAGTGAGTTGGATGGGTTTGGGATGGGATGGGGTGGGGTGAGATGGGTTGGAGAGTTGAGGGTGGGATGGGTGGAAGATGGGATGGGGTACTTACGAGTGATAAACGACGGATATTATATTCTCTAATATGATATATACTCCTCATCGCACCAGGGGAATACGGTAACCTCTCCCAATGACCTACAATATCAATCCCACAACGTTAGTTAGCCAACTCATAGCTTCCATAAACCAGCAAGCACGTCGATAAGGTAAAGACGCATATACACATACCATGGTTAAAATCATGCGGCTTGAATATGCCCGATGCACCCGCTATTCGTATCCCGTTGACTTGGACACACCCGGCGTGTCCGAGGAAGTACATGTTTGGAGCGATCCATCCTCCGTGGTACCTGCATTCATATCGATATATCAGCACATCAGCAGCAGCGAGTGGATACATGGTGAAGGGTACTCACAACTCCCAAAAGTAATTCGAGGCTTCGTGGTTACCGCCAATGATGATAGTCAACAAGGGAGCCTTCTTCTCTCCCGTATAATACCTACAAAGCAGCCCCATAAGTCATCACAATCATCTTGACCTCCGCTCCCCAAACAAAACATAGCGCAACGCCCACCTACTTCCAAAACGTGCCCAACTTCTTATACTTATCAGGGACAGCCATACACGCCAAGTCCCTCTCGTTCCTCATAGCTTGAAAGTCGCCGCAGATGAGGAGCAAGTCGACTTTATAGTTATTTTGCGATTCGAGTGTGGAGATGTAGGCGTAGATGTCGTCGAGGGCGCCGTGGCAGCATCCTTCTATTGCGATCTGAGGGAGCGGGGTGAGGAAGTGAGCTTAGATGGGGGAAGGATGTGAACGGTACGGGGGATGTTACCTTCATCGTATCGCGTCCTTCCCCGCCAGTTCGTTTATTTGCAGGTTACTGCACAAATCAGACGCGTCCCAAATACCCAATAGGCCGCACTGGCAGAATGCGAGGCGTTGGTGTGAAAAGCGCGAACGAAGGCGTTGAAGGCAAAGGTGATCGACAGTGGTTGGTCTCGTGACCGACTGCTCATCGCTTCGGCAAATTGCGGCCCGCGTCTGCTCACTCGTTCCGAGTCGTTCGTGCATGCTATGCTGGGGTAGAATTAAATGACTCTCCCAGTTGGGCTTACCACAACGTTTGGGAAGGCAAGTAGAACTTAGACATACGAGATATCCTGTCCGAGTCCGACGCCGTGCAGGCTGAGGTAAAGTGCACAAGTGCACGGACTACGGATGAATTTCAGTATGTACAACTTACGGAGCTAGGACTGTTCTGTTCCGGCATCCGCTTCAAGATCGCTAGCCGACTGCAACTACTAATCCTATAACATCTTCCGTCAGGACGAGGGGCTTGCTTCGGTCCCCTTTGCCACATTATGCTTCGTCCGAGAGGTTTTAGCAGTACTTTGTATGGTGTAAGCAATTCCAAGGCACAGACAAACACCTGAGATGAACCGTTGCTGAGACGATGCCCTAACATGTCACGTGCTGTGGACGCGTCGAGTGGCGCGGTTCAATTGGAAGAGACCTCGCCGCTCGGTCGGACTGGAAGAGACGTAACTCACCCAAACCTGCACCTATCCCACTGATGTTATCAGTTCAATGAAAGAGTTCAGATATCCTGTATATGAAACTTGGTTGGTTGAAATTCATCGAGAGATGCTCGAGTAATAGAAGAATTGAATATTTCAGCTATTTTTCGTGAATTGCGCCGTACGTTTGTACTTGTTTGTTCGGGGAGTTCACCCCCTATAGCCGGTGCCGGTGAATGCTCGCTACGCTCGCAATAACATCCGAAGCGTCCTCATTCGACGTGGTATGACCCATGAAGATCTGAAGTGACAACGTTAACGACCAACTCCATTGAAAACGTCCAGCGAACTGCACAGTAAGTCTCCGCGAGCTCCGAACGCTATTGACTCACTGAATATCAATAGTTACCTGTATACGAGATGCTTCCCATCGACCGCTTTCATGATGTACTAGCAGACCTGGGATTGCACGTTGTCGACGAGGGGACGTCGACTCCGGACTGCGATGACATTCCAGATGAAGAGAAGCACAGAACCTTAGCAGCGTATCCCTTCAAAACGCGTCAATTCCGGGCAGCCCTCACAGGGATACTGAATATCAGACGCGCTCAAGCTCTCGCATACCAGACTCATACGCATCTCCTACGATATACGAATCTCCTAAGGGAAGAAGTGGATATAGTTGAGGAACACGACCTGGTTCCTGGTTATAGGAGAGAAGTCCTGGTCTCGTACCCAGCCGGTACTCCACCGCGCAGTACCCGGTGGTGGGGTGCGGCAAGTACCGGCTGGGTACGAGACCAAGAAGTCCAGCGCATGGAGTGGTTCACAGAGATGAAGGAACTTCGGGCGGAAACTGCAAAAGACGAACTGGCGAATATGTAATTTTACGAACCCCTCTCTGTCACACGGCCGCCTGGCGAAATGGCATCGCGTCTGACTACGATTCGCGTAATCAGGAGATTGCAGGTTCGACCCCTGCGGTGGTCATCTCTGATTTTTATCTCATCTCATCTCGACCTCTTCTTTTTCACGTTCACCCTCCCAGTTTTTGCTTCAACGTTTGGACATATATCCTCGCATGTCCCCGTCACCATCCCGGCTCGGACTCTCGGAGGCCTGGAACTCGATAGATCATAGATCGAACTTTGAAGGCTTGACGTTCTCCCCTTCGCCTCAGGCAGTCACTGAATCCCTTTCTTTCCAATCCCTCGTTGGCCGTCAGCACCACGACGGCCGTACTAATAATTGTCATCCTTCTAATACATCGATATCGTAGACCACTGATTTTTTGATGTTTTGAGTTGGAACTTGGACTGGTGCGCCAGTCAAGTCGACGCGCGACGCGATCACGTGGTGTATGTGTACGCGATTAATCGTCGTGAGTTTGTGTTTCGCGTCTTCTTCCTCTTCAATCTCGCTGTTTGACTCTTGTTTCTTATTTTTTGACTCGGAGAATACACAGCAAGCAATAAAAGCTGTTATTATACCCTTCATCCCGTCCCATTTCATACTACACACCGACAGTCGAGTCGAGACGTCTTCTCTCAACTTGGACCGCTTTCATGTCCGAGTCCATCTGCGTGCGCAGCCAGTGCAGAAGAAACATAACAATAAGTACGATCGCACATCGTACCAACGCAATTAGCGGGATTCGAGATAAGGCACATCTTAGCTTGGCTTGTAGCTACTACTAATCGTGAGATAAATTGTTCAAACGACTCGGAGACAGTTTGGGTTTGGGTTCGGGGTTTGGGGATTGAGATTGAGAGAATACGAGCACCGAGGGTCTGACTGACGATATGCGTATCCCGGGAAGCGAATGTGGAGATGAATGAGTCGTCAGCATAGTCATAGTTATAATCGCGGTCATGGTCCTCACGACGCAAGTACTCGAAAAACGATAATCGAAAATTCATAATCGTGGTTCGTGGTTGTAGTGTCAGTCGTGTATACCATCGTAGTATAATCCTTCAGCAAGGAATAAAGACGGAAGACGGAAGACAGAAGACGTGGAAAGGCAGTGTAGTAGTGTACCGTGACTCGTGAGTGTCGTCGCATCGCGTCGTAGAGACTGAGCTGGTCATCTCTACTATGTCCTTTTTTCATGTGAGAGGTCAAATTTTCAAAATCCAAGATCTCTCCATCGCTACCTCCATCCTCTTCTTCTTATGCGACTTGGATATCTTCGTCGAGATCCCTCCTCTGTCTCTATCTCTGTCTTCGTCTTTGTCTCTCTATTCCGATCGCGTTCTCGTTCTCGCTTCCGCTTCAGATTTGCTTTCCCCTCCTCGTCCGCTCGTCTCGTTTTCCTCCTCCTCTTCTCGTCCCCCTCTCCCCGACTCCAAATCCATATTGAACGCCTCCCCCGACTTCAACTCCAACTCCAACTCATCCCGGCAACTAGCACTCGGCATATTAGCACGCTTTCAGTCTTCAGTCATCAGTCCCTCTTCCTTCTCTCCGAGTCAGGCTGGTTCTTTTTGCGGTCCCTCTCCACTCGGACTCGGACTTGGACTCGGACTCGGACCTTTTGGAGCTTTCGGAGATTCGACTTTATCGTTGTGTGAGTTCCCGTTCTCTTTCTCTTCATCCCTCCGTAAGTTCTCTTCATCTCTCCGCAACTTCTCTTTCCCTATCTCTCTCTCGTTCCCAATCTCTTTCTCTCTCCCAATCTCTTTCTCTTCATCTCTCCGTAAGTTCTCTTCATCCCTCCGTAAGTTCTCCCCACCCTCCTTCTCCTCCTCTTTCTCCCTACCCCCACCCTCCCCACCCTTCACACCCTCCTTCTCCCCACCACCCCGACCCTCCTCCTCCCCACCCCTCACACCCCCCCCCCCACCAGCACCCCTCGAACCCCACCCAACCCACTCCCAGCGCCCACACCTCGGCCCTCTCACCACCAACACGAGAACACAAAAGAGTTGCATGCCTAGTGCGAGTGCTGCGCTTGCTCTCCAGCCTGGTATGGAGGAGGATGGGGAGGGAGAGGTGAAGAGAGCTGTGGAGGAAGAGGTTCCTATGACTTGACCTATGAAGAGCTACAGAGGAACGAAGGAACGAGTGAGGGATGAGTGACGAAGAAAGTATTAACAAGAAAGAATAGGAAAAAGGGTGGTCAGTCTTCATGACCTAACCCAAACCCCTCCAAAGCCAAACCGAAAACCCCAAAAAACCCCAAAAGAACCATAAAAAAAGAAACTCACAGCAATAATCAAAAGAGCATTCAACCTCGCCCTCGCACCTTCCAAGCCTTCCAGTCCAAACACCCAATTCGTAAGTGAGACCTAAGCAGAATCACAAATTTCGTGAGTCAGAATCACAAATTTCGTGAGTCAGAATCGAAAGTTCGTGAGTTATCACTGTATCACCGATTTGTTGGTACGAGGTGAGAGGAAATGTTGAGAGGGAATGAGTTGAAAGAAAGTGGAAGAAGTGACGTCTCTCGAAAGACCTGGAGTGACGAGTTTGAGACGTGCTCTGCTCCGTCTTTCGTCTTTCGAGAAAAAACTTCATATATATAGAGAGAAAGATGGGGACGCTCTGTCTCTCCAGAAGCATCGAGCGGCGACTCGGAGAGAGAAATGCTGCATCTCGAGCGGCGACTCGAAGAAAAAAAACGGTACGTCTCGAGCAATGCAAGAAATATGCCGCGTCTCGAGCAAGGCAGGAAACGCTAGGTCTACATAGAGCGGCGACTCGGCGAGAGAAAACGCTATGTCTCGAGCAACGCAAGAAATATGCCGCGTCTCGAGCAACGTGAAAGAAACTCTGCATCTCGAGCAACGTGAAAGAAACCGCTAGGTCTACATAGAGCGGCGACTCGGCGAGAGAAAACGCTACGTCTCGAGCAACGCAAGAAACATGTCGCGTCTCGAGGCAAAGCTGAGACCCACCGTGTCTCTCACAACAAAAGAGGCCCATTGCATCTCTTGAGTGACATAAGAGCTACTGTTTCTCTCAAAAAAGTAGAGCCGGCGTCGCTCGCCGAAAAAAAAACATCGAGACACTGCGCCCCTCGCGATCGCCTCGAGGGGGCGTAAGAGGAACGCTTCGTCTCTTGCAATACTGAGACACGCTACGTCTCTCACTCTGAGTCTCACAACCCCCGAGTCCATCCCCACACATCACAAGAAAACACACCTCACATCACAAGAAAACACAGACACGTACCTGCTGCATCTGTCGGAACACGTCCAACCCAAACGCAGTGATGACGACTGCTCCGATGGATGATTTGTTGAGGCCTGCTGCGGCTGTTTTGATTTGTAGGGGGTGGGTGAGGGGGGTGGGTTGGGTGAAGTGGGTTGGGTTGGGTGAAGTGGGTTGGGTTGGGTGAGTATGGGTGGGTTGGGTTGATTATTGGTGAGTATGAAGTCGATTATGGGTGGGTGGGTGAGTACGGAATTTCGTGCAAACCCAAACCACAAACCACAAATTCAATTCAAAAAAAACTCACCAGTCTCAACGACCCAAACACCCACCAAAACCACCGTCGAGATCATCGTAGCTGTCCAATTTGAAAGGTGATCGACGAGACGACCGATGAGAGGGGCGAAGGCGACGCCTGCTATGCCTATTAGGCCGAAGAGGCCTATTGCTAGGCTGGTTTGGGAAGGGGGGGGGGGTGTAAAGATGTTGAATGGGAAATGGGAAATGAGAAGGAGACGCACGTGGAGTAGAAGTAAGGTGGACCACCGAGGAGGAAGGTCAACGTCACCTACGACATCCTCATCAATCTCACAAATTCTACTCAAAACCCAAACCGGACGTACCCAGAAATTGGTAAAGGTAGACATACTAGCAATACAAATCAACACCGCCTGAACCACCACAGGCTCCGTCCACAAAAACCTCATCATAGTCCACGGTATCCTCGCGTACGTCAAGCCCTCGCCCTTCTTATTCTTACTCGGATAATCAGGTATACAAGCCCACTCCAACCCCAGAACAGCCCACTGCACGGCAAACGCGACCCAATACACGATTCTCCACGAGACGAACTGAGCCACAACACCAGCCAAGACCCGAGCAATGAGTATACCCAACAACAACCCCGACAAAGCGATAGAAAGTGCGGAAGCGCGTCGGGAGGGAGGAGCGAGGTCAGCAGCGAGGGGCATGAGGACTTGAGGGGTTATACTGAGTATTCCGATGAGGAAGGATACGGCGGAGAAGGTGGGTAGGGAAGATGTGAGTGGGAGGATGACTGTGAGAGATGGTGCGAGGAAGGTGAGGATGAGGATGAGGGGACGGCGGGGGAGGAGGTCGCCGAGGGGGGAGATGAAGAGGAGGCCGACGGCGTAGCCTGCTTGGACGAGGGTGGGGATGCGGGAGACGTCATTGTAGGAAACGGAGAAGGACTGGGAGAGTTGGATAAGGATGGGTTGGCAGTAGTACAAGTTCGCCACCGCTAGTCATGGTGAGTATGAGTGTAGGCACGTGCGGTAGATGCTACGCACTGAAGGTACTGGCGAGCCCAAAGACGATGTTGAGTGTCAGGTTCCACGGATGAGGCTTCCGCGGGTCATGGCGAAGTCGGCGCGGGATGGGGACAAACCCAAAGTCCTTCCCGTTAATCTCTTGGTCGTCGAGCGTGATCGGGTCTGAGCGGGAGGGCGGCGCGGGCGCGGGCGCGGCCATGGTCACGGTGTGTCGATCGGCGTCGGCGTCGGCGTGTGCAGGAGAATCGTCGAGCAGAGGAAGTTAGTGAGAGCTCGGTGCTCCGTCCACTGCCGTCTGCTATTAATACGCGCCGCAGCTTCAGGTTCGTACCTCCTCCGCTCACGACCTACCTCCTCGGACGTATACAGCTATAACCACCCCCCCCCTCTGCTCTTTTCGAAGCTCGCAGCATTCGGCCTGGTGCACGGCGCATGGCGTATGAATCGCTCTCGAACTTGGCAGCTCTGGTCCCATTTCTGCACTCGCGGTCCCGTTCAGAGTCACTCTACATTACCAGACCGCTCCCATTGTCAGGTAAACCTCTC